CAATGTAACGCACGTATCTGTTTGTTAATTTGCAGCGGAACGCGCGTTGATCAACCCTGTCAAGTCACTCCTTTCGGTATCTTATTAGCAGCAAATCATTGAGAAGCTGAGAAGAATGTACTGGAATTAACTTTGCTTCGTCAATAACGAAAACGTAGAATATTTCCCAGCAGCATCCGGATCGGAGCGAACATCAAAAAAGTTGTTGCCCCACTATCTACCACCCCCCTACCGGAAAGCAGCAGGGAGTTGCTATCCGTTAGCTAGTGCCTAGTGGCGCATCCGCAGACGTAAACAAAGCATTCCAAGCAGGCAGCAGGGATCCTTTTTCCTCCATTCCACGGTGACCATGCATGGGATCGATCATCGATCCGTGGAAATTAACCCCAATTAACCGGTTGACCATTGACTCGAGACGACGGCGGCGGCGGCGGCCTGTGCAGTTGGTGGGCGCCAGCCGCCAGCTCATGGTGACGATCGGTTGATGCATGCAACCACGCATGGCGAGGCGTTCAGCAACCTCTCCGTGGTCGTCGACAGTGTGGACTGGTCAAAAAATTTCAACCCCGGGCCGTTTCCTGCTGCTAGCTGCCTCCGTTTCTGACATTTCGCTCTCGATCCTACCCGGCCCAACAGCAACAATCATCGGCAGTCATGGTCATATGTAGGGCCCGTTTGGTAGCTCCGGCATCAACCAACATCTCAGTTATGGCTTCATTTGTGGAGCAGATTCAGTTGTGGAGCTAAATTAGTTTTTAGACCATTTGGCAAAACAGCTCCGCCTGCTAGTGTAAAATGACGAAATGTCCATAATACCCCTCTTTTCTTTCTTTTTTCTTTTTTCTTTTTCTATTTTCTTTTCTTTTCTTTTCCAACGTTATCTGGTCCCCACACCGTCGTAGCCATACGCGCAGCCCCACCGCATCCGCATGACCGCATCTCCTTCAACCTTATCTCATCATCATCACGCCAAGCTTTCTCCTTCTCAATCTCCATCGCCACCGCCAAGAAGTGCGCCGTGGCTCGGCTGGTCTCTGCCGGCGCCCCTTCCTCCTCCTCCTCCCCCAGTTGCCCCGGCCAGTGGCGGATGCACGATGCGGGATAAGGGGGGGCTAAAACAATGGAGATGTTGATTTGCATGAAGATTTAATGGTGAAATCAAGCTTTTGCTACAAGGATTAGGCTTGAAATCAAGACATTAGAAGGGGGCTAGAGCCCCCATTTACCCCCTTTGATCCGCCATCGCCCCGCCACCGCACCCCTTTTTCCTCGTCTCGTCATGATCGTGCTCCACGCCTCCACCTCGTCGTCGCTCTGACACCCAAGCGAACGCGTGGGCAGCGTGCCTCTAGATGGCCGCGCACCCTCGGACAACCGTGCTCGCGCAGCCCGGCCCCCGCGGATCCTTCTCGATGGCCGGTGGCTGCACCAGCGACAATGCCCCGTCTTCCTCCCGCACGTCGAGGGCAAACTCGCCTAGGGACCACGCATCTGACAGGGAGCCGAGGGAAGCTCGATTTTTTGGCTCCATCTCCCATCTTTGCTCTGTCTCAGCGCAATTTCCGGGACTTCTCCTATGGAGCTGATGTCCTCACACCCGTTTTGCAGCAGGAGTCATAAAACAGCTCCCAGAGCCGGTCCGGGAGCGCTACTAAACGGCCCCGTAATTAACCAGTCTCGCTTCGACGTGGATATTTCGCATACTCACGTGTGGTACTTCCTCCTTCCACCAAAAAATACATAATTATGGTATCCGTGCCGGTCAATCGAGTTCAAGTTTAAACAAGTTTATAGCAAATAGTATTAGCATTTATATCTCTAAATAAATTTATTATAAAAATATATTCTATAACTAATCTAATGAATACCTTGAATGTTTGTACATTTTTATATAAATTTAGTTAAAATTTAGGTTGTACGACTCCTCAAAATCGGAGAATTGTTTTCTTCTGTGGACAGAGGAAAGGAAGCTCCATCTCCGTTCAAAGATAGATGGCCGATGTGATGTCAGCGTCATGGGACGATCTTTCCCCTTACGTGGTGCGTGTAGGTTCGTTCTCTCCGGACTGGAATTAATGGTCACGGTAGTGCGGTCAGAGTTTTGGTTCCCATCGTGCAGAAAGGTCGCTCGCTGAGTCCATGCATATGCATCACCGTACCACCTCAGGAGTGAGGTCATCACTCATCAGCTAACCCTAGAGTGAGGTGCGGAGAGCACTTATCTAAGTGTACTGTACCTACAAATGCATTTATTTCGTGACAAAATTCAAATGCTATAAACACTTTATTTTGCAACGGAGAGAGTATACCGGAAGGACTAGTTTCTTTTTATAGTGACGTCAGGGACGGAGCCACCCTAACGGCGGTGTGAGGCGGCCGCCCGCCTGACCCCCGGACCCCACTTCTTCGGCCTCCCACCTCAGGCTGCCGAGCGTCTGCGACCCTCGGCGAGACCGCAACAACTCGACGAGCGAGCGGCTGGCCTGTTTGGCAGTTTCTTGGTCCAATCCACTAGCTCAGCAGCAGGCCAAGAACCCACGTGAAGGCCCAACCGTCCGTCCGTCCCCTCAGCCACACTGCAAAATTGTCCAAATGATGGCCGCTAAAATCCCCAAACTCCATCTGCAGCTTCCCGTCTCCAACCCTTGCTAGCGCCCGGCGCTGTGCCAACTACGAAGGCCCACTGCCGCCACCTGCCGGAGCCTCGAGCGGCCTAGAGCGAGGAGCAACCGCAGCGGCAGCTGGCAGGAATAGCAGCGGCGCCGCAGATTGCAGCGGCCGCGGCCGGATAGCCGGCCACGTGACTACGTGAGCATGAGGCAGGAGCGGCCCTCCAGTAGCCGGCCAGGGGCAGGAGCGGCGGGCCACGGGTGCCGGGTAGCGAGGCAGCAAATCATAGCGGTAGAGCGGCGATGGACGGAGGAGAGGAGGAGGACATCTTGTGCTACTTATCCTCTTTTTTTTTTTTTGCCATATTTCATGAAATTGTAGCTTTTTTTGTCAGAATTGTCGTAACAGGTGAATGCAGTGTGATTCTGTCCATATGATTTTTGGTTCAGTCTATCGTTAGAATTCGCCCCACCCTTTTTTTTTTTTTTTTTTTTTGCTCCGCCTATGGACTTGCATGTTTGTACTAGATTTTTGAAAAAAATAACAATATAAGGCTATGTTTGGATTCACCCAGTTAAAGTTTAGCTAGCTATAAAATTTGAAAACTAAACTTTAGCTAGCTAAAAGTTCTCTGAGCTAAATTTTAGCTGGAGTATTTGGATCTTCTAGCTGATAGACATAACTAAACTTTAGCTGAGTTTAGCTAGGTTGAAACACCTAAACTTTAGCTAGTCTTTTAGCTGGGCCGTTTGGATCCCTAACAGCTAAATCTAACCGGTTAAAATTTAGTTGGTGGATTCAAACATGCTCTAATTCTACTCGCACATGGAAGCCTCAACTAATCTTTTATACTGCTGAAATTTTTAATTCATTTGGAGCTTATATATAAACCCGTCCAGTAGTCCTGAGGGGACGTGTAAATCAAATGCCGGCCCACTATAAGTGCCGGCCCACACAAGGCCTGTTTGAAGAGGGTTTTCCAAAACAAAGTACAAATTATTTAAGTAAAAAAAACAAGAACTTAGCCAAGGGAAGAGCCACTCAAGGCCCAAAACATGATAAAGAGGCACTCTCATCTTGTCGGTAAGATCTCGCTTAGTCGATTAGCACCCGATGTGTAACCAGTCTAGTTTCATCTCTTTATTTTTATGATGATGTGAGAACCTGTGGTGGGTTAAACTTCCTCTAAAAAATTCTTGTCTTTAGCTCTTTCCACGGCTCCCCAAGAAACAAAAGCAATATGAACGATCTTACCGCCTTTAACTGGCATCCTAACTTCTGAACCCACCATGCGCCACCACTAAGACAACGAAAGCAAAATTATGCCACTGCTATGTGCTTGAAAGCGCCCATTAGTCCATGATCGAACATCGTCCCAGATCCCTTTGTGTACCTGCAGTTTGCAAGGGGTGGATCGTGGATTCGGGGTGGATAGCGGATTTGCTGATTCTTTGACTCGAATGGCAGATGTCCTAGTTTGGCCATCCACGAGAATGAAGCCGGTTTGCCATCCATAAGCAATTGAGGGTTTTTAGGATGGGCAATTTTGGATGTTGTTAGCTGTTTAAAAAACTTGTAGCTCAGGGATACCCACGTTTTTCATATAAGTTAATCTCTTCACTCCAAATTATAAGTTGCTTCTCGCTTTGACTAGAAAAACAATGTGACTTATAATTTGGAACGGAGAGAGTATTCTAATTCGGTGTTTGTCGAGCATAAGAATTGGGTCAAACAGGATGACCGCGGTGATTATTCTCCTGAAGCATTGAACTTCCGAATTATGTTTGTCTTGCGTATTAGGATTCCACCCTGTTATTTTCGCACAAATCGACAAACTTGCCAAGGTCTGAACTCTGAACTGAGGTGATGGAGAAAGTGAGGTTTATATTAGGTGAGTGACAAAAATGTGGGACTGAAATATCTAAATATGTGTTTTATTTATGACTTTTGCTATTTATCCGCTGACAGAATTTTTGGTACTAGATCTGTCGGATTTCTATATGTTTGATTGTGCTTTAGGATCTATGCTACAACTATCACTACTGGGTCGCATTTTAAAAAACCAGACAAATTTGACCACATAAAATCTGTCGACACATAACTAGGAACTCGCTTTATTTATTTGTCATATATATGAAAACCAATGTAGACATTCATATAGTCATGCATGACTTGGCATCCAAAGACTCCATAGCATAGAGCTGTGGACAGTCTCATTCACATGTGCCATGGACGTTCGTAATAACCTGGCATAGATCAACGGCAATATATACGCAGTCCTTCCGCGCGCGCACACACACACGTCTATTATAAACCACGTACATTCCACGCATGCAACTGGGTTCCACTACTTGGAGGCTTATATAGAGCTATACGTATGCACGACACGTCTACAGCACCTCCAAGCTGGCGAGCTCCTCGGCGAACACCTTCCTGAACGCCGGCATGGTCTCCGGCTCCAGCGACAGCACGAGCGCGAGGGCACCCTCCTTCCCGGCCGCGTTCATGACGTACATGAAGCCGCTGTAGTACATGAGCGCGGGCCCCATGAACGCCGGCGCGCCCCACCCGAAGTCGGCCTTGTACAGCGACATGCCCACCCAGCTGATGGCGCGGAGGTGCGCGCGCGAGATGCCTTTCCGGGGCAGGTTCATGGCGTCCACGCCCTCCAGGTAGTCCACCAGCGACCGCGCGTAGTCGTCGCCCTGGCTCGTAGCCGCCAGCGCGCGGCGTGCCGCGTAACCCACGGGGTTGCCCACCACCTCGCCGGCCGTGGCGGAGACAGACGTGCGCACCACCGCGTTGCCGAAGTACCCCGGCTGGAGCGGCGGGTCCAGGCGCGACCGCATGTCGATCATGGAGTAGAGCCGCGTCTCCGTCTCGGGCGGCAGCGACCGCGCGCGGCACACGCACTGCCACACCAGCGCCACCACGGCGCGGAACGTGGACGCCCCCGGGCACCGCGCCCTCAGCGCGCCCACCTGCGCCTTGGTCACGACGATGATAGCGCTCGCGTAGTCGTCGGACGCGGCGGCGCCGGCGTCCACCACCGCCGGCTCTGGCTCCGGCTTGTACTCCGGGTGGTCGTACAGCACCGCGCGAGCCGGGCCCGGGCGCGCGGCGAGCAGCCCGTAGTCGAAGCACGGCGGCACGGGAGCGTTGGCGTTCGCGGTCGCGGCGTCGGCGTCGTCCCCGCGCGCGATGCTCGCCCACGTCTCGAGGAAGTGCGCGGCACCCCGCGCGTCGCAAACGGAATGGTGCATGGACAGGGCGAGGACGACGCCGCCGCAGCGCAGGTACGTGACCTGCACGAACAGCAGCGCGCACGGCGGATTCGGCGCGGGCGTCGGGGGCACCAGCAGGTCCCGCATCTCGCGGCACGGCACGAACTCGCGCATCAGGTCGTCCAGCGCGTAGTCCGACCGCGCGGTCACGAACACCGCGCCCTCGCCGGTGCAGTCCACCTGGACGCGCCCGGTGGCGCCGTCGACCCCGAGCCGCCCCGCGAGCGGGTAGAACGCGACCAGCGCCCTGGCGAGGCTGCCCTTGACGACGTCCGCCGCGAAGAACCCCAGGTCACCGTTGGGCCGGAAGAAGTAGACCGTGGGCGTGTACCCGCGGCGCGCGGCGAGGTCCAGGTTGGACAGCCAGATGCTCCCCGCCGGAGTCTCTTCGGCCGGGACGACCACCTCCGACGTCAGCACCTCCACCGTCGGCGCCATTGCCTCGTAACAAGCTCTCAGGGTGGTGGTGCTGAGAAGCTGGTGAATGATGATGGTTGCTCGGTGGTTTAAATGGAGGTGTACTTGTACCTTGTATAGTAAGTGCGACGGTTGGAGAGTGAGAGCCAGGACTGACCGACTGAGGAAAGCGCGGTGTTGGGCTAATCGTTATTGTGCACATGTATGTGACGTTGATGCAACGGTTGTCCAAGTCAAGGCAGTGGGCGGCTATTTGCGGTCAGTTTGTTTGGCTGTGGCTTGTCGTAAATAATCGTAAATTTTTAGTCGGAACAGTATTTTTTTCTCACATATCAGCCAGCAGTACATCTTTACGAACCAACAACGAAACGAACCAGCCAACCGAACCGGCTGTTGGAGTTTGAAAGAGGACAGGGTTGTCAGGCGCGCGGTGAGCACGTTCCCACGTCATGCACTCGTAGGCAGCTGTGTTGAGTCACGTTGTATCACTGTGTTAAGTGTATTACTTTCATATATAAATGCTAGGCTAACTCCTGTTTGTGTTAGCACGAATGTTAAGGTGTGGTTAGCACCTGAGAACTCCACGAATTCACCTTTGTACTGTCCAGAACAATCAGAGGAAAATAGCTCTGCCATCTGGCAGTTATCGTGCTCTGTGTGTTCATCGCATTTTCATTCTCGCGCGTTCTTCATTCTTGATAGGATAGCCACATAAATTGATGTGTGATCTGTGATCTATAAGGCCTACATTTGGTATCAAAGCCTTGATCACGCATCAAAGTTGATTCCTTGTTCTTGGAGATGGGAGATCGGAGTGCAGGGAGCGGCGGTGCAGGCGGCGGGGGAGTCGGCGGCAATGGGCAGTTAGCCTATCTGTCGCTGACGGCGACCAACTACACCAGCTGGAGCATTCGAGTTCAAGCCATCATGGAGGATCAGGGAGTCTAGGCGGTTGAGGGGACGACAGAGGCGCAGACGGCAGCGTTGTCTGGCAAAGACAAGAAGGTTCACGTGCATCTGCTCCATTGTCTGCCGGACGACTTGCTGATGCAAGTTGCCAAGAAGAAGACGGGCAAGGAAGTCTGGGACTGCCTCAAGTCTAGATTTGTGGGCGCGGATCGAGTCGAGGAAGCGCGCCTGCAAACTCTGAAAGGCGAGTTCGACGCGTTGAAGATGAAGGACGAGGAGCCCCTGGACCAGTATGCCGGAAAACTGACAGCGATGTCAGTCAAGTACGACAATCTTGGGGGAACGCTGGATGCTGCTGCGCTCGTCAAGAAATTGTTCGACACTGTGCCGGAACGGTTCATCAACGTGGTGGCCGGCATCGAGCAGTTCTATGACTTGAAGACCTTGTCGTTCGAGGAGGCGATCGGGAGGTTGAAAGCCTACGAGGAGCGCACTTGGCGGGGAGCCGGGAGCGGGAAGTCCGAGGGCGGCCAACTGCTGCTCACTCAGGCTGAGTGGGAAGCACGCCAGAGGAGATCTGGTGGTGACTCTTTGGGGAAGGGCTGCTCACTCAGGCTGAGTGGGAAGCACGCCAGAGGAGATCTGGTGGTGACTCTTCGGGGAAGGGGAGATCACAGGAGGGCGGCAGCCAAGGGAGAGGCCGGGGCCAGGGAAGAGGTCGTGGTCGAGGCGGCAGTGGTCGTGGTGATGCTAGGGGCAGGGACGGTGGCGGGAAGAGTGACAAAAGCCACATTCAGTGCTTCAAATGTCACAAACATGGCCACTATGCCAATCGCTGTCCGGAGGAGAAGAAGGGCGGTGATGAAGCATACCTTGTCCGAGCTGATGATGTTGAGCCAACGCTGATGCTTGCGATCATGGAGGAGCCAGAGTCGCTCAAACTCGCGCCACGAGTGACCATGGGTGCACAGTACACTGCTGTGTATCTGAATGAGAGGAAGGTGGTGCCTAAATTGTATCTGACAGGAGGTGGTGATGCTGCAAATGATACTTGGTTCCTTGATAATGGAGCCAGTAATCATATGATAGGAGATGCCGAGAAGTTTGAGATGCTTGATGAATCAATCACTGGAAAGGTGAGGTTTGGAGATGGGTCAACAGTGGAGATCAAAGGAAAGGGCTCCATCCTGTTCAAGTGCAGAAATGGAGATTAGTGGGTACTGCCTGAGGTATACTTCATTCCTAAACTTCATAGTAACCTAGTGAGTCTTGGTCAGCTTACTGAAACAGGCCATAAAATTGTGATGGATGATGATGTGCTGGAAGTCTTTGATAAGAACACTGCTAGACTGATAGTAAAAGTCATGAGAACAGTTAACAGACTGTATAGAGTTGAGTTGAAACCAACAGTACCAGTTTGCATGTTAACTAGTGTTGATAGTGGTGATCAGTCTTGGTTGTGGCATGGCCGGTTAGGACATGTAAATTTCAAAGCAATGAAGCAGTTGAGTCAGAAGAACATGGCTGCTGGAATTCCGACAATAGAGCATCCTGAACAACTCTATCATGGTTGTTTGACAGCAAAACAGACCCATGTTCCATTCCCAAAGGTGACTAGGTGGAGAGCCACAAAAGCACTAGAGTTAGTGCATATTGATTTGTGTGGGCCAATAACTCCAGGGACAGTAGGAGGTAACAAGTACTTCATGCTTTTGATTGATGATTTTAGTAGATGGAGCTATGTTTATATGCTTAAGACTAAGGATCAGGCTCTAGATGCTTTCATTAAGTATAAAGCTGAAGTTGAGAATGTTACTGGGAACAAAATCAATACACTTCGTTCAGATAGGGGTGGTGAGTTCTTGTCAAGAGTGTTTCAGGATGTTTGTGAGAAGGCAGGCATTAGGAGACATCTCACTGCTCCTTACTCACCTCAGCAGAATGGAGTGGTTGAGAGAAAAAACAGGACTGTCATGGAAATGGCCAGAGCAATGATGAAAAGTATGAGTGTGCCTGGGAGGTTTTGGGGAGAAGCTGTGAGGCATGTTGTGTACTTGCTGAACAGGCTACCTACAAAGATCATGGGTGATCAAACACCTTTTGAAGCTTGGTGCAAAAGGAAGCCTCATCTTGGGCATCTGAGAGTCTTTGGTTGTATGGCACATGTCAAGCCTGTAGTGCCACACATCAAGAAACTAGATGATAGGAGTAGTCCTATGGTCTACTTTGGAGTTGAGGAGGGAAGCAAAGCTCACAGGATGTATGATCCAAGAAACAAGAAGATTGTGGTTAGTAGAGATGTGATCTTTGAGGAATCGGTTCAGTGGAAATGGAATTCAAGTTCAGAGGAGTCTGACGCAATTGATTTCACTGTAGAAGATGAAGCATAGTTCAGCAACTCAGGTTGGGGTGCTGGGAAAGTTGATGTGGGGAATCTACAGCATGGGGGAGGGATACCAGCTGTAGTGATAGGTAGTAATACATCAACTGGGAGCAGTGCAACTGTTGTGCCAGATGAACTACAGTCATCTGATGGCACAACTGATCAAGCGCTTGGTGGGAATACACCAAGTCCAATGGGCTCAATGCAAGGAGAGTCAATGCAAGTTGGTGAGCAGTCAGCTACACCATCTTCGGTTGATAGTGATATTGATGAGGAGCCACTGCATTACAGAAGCTTAACTGATGTGTACCAGGAAACTTCAGAAGTGGAATTGGAACTGGATTCTGAAGGGGAGGCTTTGTTAGCTGAACTAGAGGAGCCCACAGGTTATGTGGAGGCAGCTAGAGATCCAGAGTGGGTGAAGGCAATGGATAGTGAGATCCAATCTATTAAGAAGAACAAGACTTGGACATTGACTAAATTGCCTACAAGCGACAAGCCAATTGGCATGAAGTGGGTGTTTAAGATAAAGAAAAATGCAGATGGGGAAGTCATCAAGCACAAAGCCAGGCTTGTTGCAAAGGGCTATGTGCAAAAACATGGCATTGACTTTGAAGAAGTGTTTGCACCTGTTGCCAGACTAGATACAGTAAAACTGATTCTTGCAATGGCAGCAAATAGGGGATGGGAAGTACATCACCTTGATGTAAAGACTGCATTTTTGAATGGAGAGCTGGAGGAAGAAGTGTATGTGTCTCAACCAGAGGGCTATGCTATCAAGGGAAAAGAACAGTATGTGGTCAAGCTTAGCAAGGCATTATATGGGTTGAGACAAGCTCCTAGGGCATGGAACATTAGGCTGGATAAAAGCCTGAAGAAGTTGGGATTCACTAAGTGTATTAGTGAACAGGCAGTGTACAAAAGAGGGGCTGGAAAATCTGAAATTATTCTGGGAGTTTATGTTGATGATCTCATAGTCACTGGGAGTGAGAAGGATGAGATTGAGATTTTCAAGAAGCAAATGACTGCTGAGTTTGAAATGAGTGACCTAGGATTGTTGTCTTTCTATCTTGGGTTAGAAGTGAGTCAACAAAAGGAGTTCATTACTTTGAAGCAGTCAGGATATGCCAAGAAAGTACTGGATAGGTTTGGTATGCAGGATTGCAATCCAACTAAAATTCCCATGGATCCTAGAATAAAGTTGCATGAAGATAAAGAAGGCCAAAGGGTTAATGCAACAGATTACAGGAGAATTGTAGGTTGCCTGAGATATCTGTTACATACAAGACCGGACCTTGCTTTTTCAGTTGGTGTAGCCAGCAGATACATGGAAAAGCCTACTATGATGCATATGAAAGCAGTAAAGCAAATTATGAGATATTTGAAGGGGACAATCCATCTTGGGCTAGTTTACACTGAAGGAGAAGAAAAAGAAAGTTTGGTTGGGTATTCAGATAGTGATATGGGAGCTGATCTTGGTGGAAGGAGAAGTACAGCTGGCATGGCTTTTTATCTTAATGAAAGTCTCATAACATGGTGTTCTCAGAAGCAGAAGACAGTAGCACTTTCTTCCTGTGAGGCTGAATTCATGACAGCAACACTAGCTGCAATGCAAGCTTTGTGGCTCAGAAATTTGATGTCTGAGCTCACTGCAACTGAACCAAAGGTTTACCCTTGTTTGTGGACAACAATTCAGCTATAGCATTGATGAAAAACCCAGTGTTTCATG